TTGCCCTGGCCGCTGCCTGCCGTCATGAATGCTCTCGGTCTTGGGGGCATCAGATCACCTGTGACCTTCAACGGGCGCCTCTACAACTCGGGCTGCCACCTTCTTCCTCATCCTGCCGATGATCTTGACTACCTACCAGACCACCCCAACCCAACCCGAAGACCCATATTTCGGGTTGGGGGGGGGTAAGGGTTCCACATGTGTTTTTTCGATGTTTCCCGACCCCCCCCCACTAGAAATCGAGGGTAAATCTGAGCCTTCGGGTTGGGTTGGGGTGGTTTGGTGGGTGGTGAGATCTAGGGCACTGGGAGGACTTTGTTCGTCGGTCTCCTGAGGCTTGGAAGCGCATGATTCGCGACACTCCGGCGGCTCACGCTCGGCACGTGCAGCCGCATGCCTCGACCGACGCCGCAGAGCACGCCATCTTGGCATGTCTCTCTGGTGCTGGCGTTCCGCTGGCAGTTCGTGGCCCAGAGCACCCTCCTCGGGCCGCTGGACGTGAAGAACATCAGTCGCGGGCGTGCCCGTGGTATCGGGAGACGTTTGATCGAGCCCGCAAGCTTCGCGCGCATGTCGCTCGCCAGCATCCCCCTCTGGTCGCCATCATTCGCCGTTTCCTGGCCCATGGCCTTACTTGACAGAAGTGCAGCGTGCGTTTCGCCAATCGCACTGCCCTCATACATTAGACGTTTGTCGACTCCCCGAAGTGACCACTTGGGCTGATCTGGTCTGGACCGCAGGGTGCTCTGGATCAGATTGAATCGGGGATGGGCAGACCTCCCTTTAGTAAAACGTGGTTTAGTGAAAACGACCTCTGGCCCAAACCTGGCGGGCGCAAGCCTGGAAAATGGCGGCCGCGGCGCCCTCTGGAGAACCGAAAACAGACAATTCACTCATCGACGTGTCAGGGTAGGAGGTCTGTCCACCCCCGATTGAACGCGTGCACCAGGATGAAACGATCAAATGGCTCGGCAGCGACGTTTTGCCATAGGCTGATGGCAGGTTACTGTCCCTGCCCATCGCGGTGAAAGCCGTGTGCCTGACGACCTCTGCTTGGTTCTACAGAACGCTTCCGATGCCCAGGCTCGAAAAAAAAATCCAGGAAGCCGACTCTTGTTTTGATCCCGAGTCGCTTGCTGATTCCTTGAACACATTCGAGACCCCCTCTGGTCGTTGAACCATCTGCTATGGATACGCCGTTTCATCCGTGTCGTGCCAGAGATTTTACTGGTGTCGTTGTTGCAGGTCGCAGAGATCCCACACAGCATCCGTCGCCAACACTGTTTGCTCTGCATATGTTCAATGGTCAGGGGCGGCAGGGCGACATCCAGGGGCAGCTGGAGCGCAAAGTTACGCTGCCCAGCATTGAACTCTTCATGCTCAGCATAGATACTGCCATCGATTCGGTTCGGGGAGATCTCACGCGTGAAGGGTCGATTCTTGATTGGGCCGAACACATTCGTGCACACAGAGTGGTGAATAAGGGGGGGGCCTGTGAGACCAGGTCTCCGTCCAGGCGGCCTGATGGGGGGCCTCCCCCATTTAGGACGACGGACTACATCTGGGGAGTTCCATGGGCTACGTCTCGTCAATAGAGCAACTTCGAGTAGGCAGCATGATATTGCATGCCCTAATCCGCTTGATGGCCAAACACATTAAAGCGGGGACGGGGGCCTGGTTAGAGCACCCTGCCCCCGTCCTCTGGGCCGCGAGGACCCCGACATCTTTTCGGTGGCCTCCCTTCCTCGCTGTTCCCTCCGCCCCTTGTGCGGTTTCGAGCTTGTTTGACCAATTCGAGCATCAGGCCCCCGAGTTGGATCCCGCTTGGGGGGGCTCCCACCTTGTGTAGTTTCCCTCCAAGTGCCTGGCTTGTATAACTCCCTTCGCGATAACCAGAACCAGGGCAGATGTTCCTATGGCGGCCCCAGGGCCCACACGCGTGTCCTGGGCAAAGATTGGTCAGGTACCTTTCGCACCGCGACTAAAAAGGTGTACCCTCCAGGGATGTGTAGTGCCCTTGCGAGACTCTGACTATGCTGGTTCGTGAGAATGATGATGTCTGCGAGCACTTCCCTGGCCCCGCTCACGTGGTGAGCAAGCTCCAGGACGTCTATTTTCAGTGGTCTGCGGATGTCCCCGAGGCCCCTCCTGACGCAGCCCTCCAGCCCGACTTTGCGGGGGTTCTTGGCCGCCGTAGTCGTCGACGTAGTCGCGTCGACCCGGAGGCGGCTCGTTGTCAGTGTTCTGAGGACGAGGGCGAAGAGGAGGCGGTCCCAAGGGATCGCAGTTCGGCAGATGTGCTGCATGCAGAGCCCGCCTCCGAGCTCGCAGACGCCGAGCTCGAGCAGGCTTTTCTCGAGGCGGCCGACTCCAAGACCACCGCTTGGGGTTTCGGCTCCCCTCCTCCGTCCTCCCCCTCTGCTGCCCCTCCTCCTCAACCTTCCCGGATCGACGAGAAACGCGCCGAAGCCAAGAGGCGCCGCGCGGATCGCCGCGCCGCTGCAGCGACGGCCCGCGCTGTCCCCGTTGACCCCTCGGGTGTTTTTGACCGTCCTCCGAGGGCGGTGAGCGCAGGCTCCTTCGCCGACCCTGCGCAGGAGGCCTACCGCTCGCTCTGTCTCTTTTCTTGAGCTCTCTGCCAGAGTTGCCATTGAGAACGGCGAACTTGTCATTCCCCATCGTTCGACGACGACCCCGCGGTAAAGTTCGCAAACTATTGAACAGGACAGGTTCGCACGGAGCATCCCAGACTGACAGCACAGGCCCAAGGCCTCTACAACATGAATGTGTATACATATCTATATATATACACACATACACCTACATATACATACATACATACATACATACATACATACATACATACATACATACATACATACATGCATACATACATACATACATACATACATACATACATACATACATACATACATACATACATACATACACACACATACACACACATACATACACACATATCTACCTACCTACCTACCTACCTATATACCGACCTACCTACTTATCTACCTACATACATACATGCATACATAACTTCATACATGCATACATACATACATGCATACATACATACACACATACATGCCTACCTACCTACCTACCTACCTGCATATCTACATACATACATACATACATACATACATACATACATGCATGCATACATACATGCATACATGCACACATACATGCATACATACATACCTGCAGACGTGCATACATGCGTACATGCACACATGCATACAAGCATACATGCATACATACATGCATACATACATAAATACATACATACATACATACATACATACATACATGCATACATACATACATACATACATACATACATGCATACATACATACATACATACACACATACATGCATATATACATACATACACACATGCATATATACATACATACATACATACACACATACCTACACACATACATGCATGTCTACATGCATACAGATATACATACATACATTCATACATACATGTATACATACATACATAAATACATGCATACATACATACATGCATACGTACGTACGTGCATACATACATACATGCATTCATGCATGCATGCATACATGCATGCATGCATACATACATACGTACGTACATGCATACATACATACATACATACATACGTGCATACATACATACATACATACATGCACATATGAAAATGTGCCCGCTCCAGCCACCTCCCCTCCTCCCACCTCCCCCATGCTCCCTCCTCCTCTTCCTTCTCCATCACCAAAGGCGGCCACCAGCAACGCACCTAAGCCCGACGCAGGAGGTTGCCAAACAGACCTCCTGGACATCCAACGCCGCAACTGTTCACGACGTGGGCCCCAGAGCTCTCGACCTGGTCCCTGGAATGTTTGCTTCTTTCGCCGCGGGCAGTTTCCTGTGGGCCCCCAGCCCCTCAAAGAGGGGCCCGAAAGTCCCAGGGCAGACTCCCGGCGCGTTTTTCTTTCGCACCGCCCAAAACTTCTGGCTCCTGCCCCCCGCCTCCTCGTTTGGGAGAATCCCCGGCAGCGCGAGAGGGGAACGGCTCACCACCAGGACCAGGGGGGACCGCAACCTCCTCCCGAGTCCGACCTTCCTGACGCACGGGGCTGCATGCCGAGAGGTGTGAGTACACGGTGGACGCGTGACCCGTCGCCGGATCGGCCACCTCGGATCTGTCCTGGCAGCTATGCAGGCTGGTGCGCACGAGTGGTGCTTCTACGCAAACCTCCTCCTGAGGAGGAGGAGGAGGAGGAGGAAGAGGAGAAGGAGGAGGAGGAGGGGGGGAGGAGAAGCACCCCACAAACCGCCCAGAACGATCGAAAACGTCCAGCCGGCGTGGACCCGCAATCGTCGCACCTTCGACACACATCCGCGAGTCTCCGGCCACACACCCCGAGCGCCTCCAGGAATTCTCGGAAGCTCCCGAACCGCCCCCCATTCCCATCCTCCTTCCCCTCCTGCTCGTGCTTCCTCCCTCTCCCCCCATCCACATCCTGCTCCCCTTCCTCGCCCCCATCGTCGCCACGGTTGAACGTGGCTCGGAGAGCTGGGGGCTCTACCCCGAGACCTGGACAGGCCGAGTGGTAGAGCCGAGGCGCCCCTGGTGGGCGGTCATCTTGGGACCTGGCCCCTGGTGGGCCAGGCGCCTTCCTCAAAACCCGCGCGGAGCGTAGGCCGCCCCTGGGCGAGCGCACCGGCAGCTACCGTTCCACTCTGGACCTTCGGGACCTGCTGCACGCCTCCCCCCCCCCCTGCTCCCAGACCCCCGACGTCATGATTTTTTCATGACGCGACCCCCAGAACTCTGGACCCAGTCCCCGGGACCGGCTTTTCATCCTGAGTCGTTTTCTGACGGTCCCGAGGCCCGGCGAGGGCCCCCAGAGGCCGACAATAGCGAAAAACTGTCCGTCGTGATTTTTTCATGACCCGAGGGGGTCTGGGCTCCACGCATCCACCCCGCGCCTCGTCGTCGGGAAACCGGCGCAGGATCTCCCGGAACAGCTTCCCCCGCAGGGTGCGCAGCTCGCAGCTCGTGCGCGTGCGCACTGGAGAGATGCTTCTTGCTGCGCGGCCCTCAGAGACCCAGAGATCCGATGTGGTGTTTGTTTCAATACGGGGTCCCGGGAAGCCCCGACCCTTTCCCCAGGGCCGGTTTTTCGTCCTGAGCCGTTTTTTGACGGTCCCGAGGCCCGGCGAAGGCCACCGAAGGCCGAAAATAGCCAAAAACCTCCGTCTCGATTTTTTCAATACCTTGGATCTCTGGGGACGCAGACCTCCGGGCGGCGCGAGAGAGAGCCGCGGCGGGTGCTCTCCCTGGCGCTTCCGGCCCCCGGGGGGCCGCTCCTCGGCGGCGCGCCCGGGCGGGAAAAACCAGAGGGAGCGGGCCCCCTCGGAAGGAGCCAAAGGCCTCCGGCATTCTGCGAAGCCTTCCCAGACCCCCTCGGGTCATGAAAAAAACACGACGGGAGGTTTTTCGCCATCTTCGGCCTCCGGGGGCCCTCGCCGGGCCTCGGGACCGTCAAAAAACGACTCGGGATGAAGAGCCGGTCCCGGGGAAGGGGTCGGGACCTCTGGGGGTTGCGTCATGAAAAAATCATGACGTCGGGGGTCTGGGTTCTACGCCTTCTCCAGAGTTGCAGAGGGCTTCTCAGAGGGCGGGGGGGGATTCTGAGAAGCCCCACCGCTTTCTGACACGGCACGCCCCTCATACTTCCCCTTCTCGGCGCGCCGCCGAGTTTCAGGACACCGAACCCACTAACAAAGTAAACCGCGGCAAAACAAACTCTCCTGGGGACGGGGTCACGAGCTCCAGGGCCATCGTCGGGAGAAGATCACAGCGTCGGGGGTATAGGAAGTGGGACCGCAGATTCGGCTTCGCCAGCAATGCTGGACCACCGTATACTGCCATATGCGTTGACTCGAGTCTTCGGGATGCTGCCTGCCTTATCGTATGTTCCTCCTCCTACTCATCATCATCATCATCATCATCATCATCATCATCATCATCATCATCATCAGCAGCAGCAGCAGCAGCAGCATCAGCAGCATCAGCATCATCATCAGCATCATCATCGTCGTCATGATCATCTTCATCATCATAACCATCATCATAATCATCATCATCATCATCAGCATCAGCATCATCGTCAGAATCATCATCATCATCATCAGCATCAGCATCATCACCAGCATCATCATCAGCAGCATCAACATCATTATCATCATCATCATCAACATCATCATCATCAACATCATACCCCAGAGGGGCACCTCCATAAGCGGAGTGTCGAGCCAAAGTGGCCGCCTGGTGCAGGCGGGGAGCACCAGGACATTACTTCTGCTACTACCACGTCTACTACTACTACTACTACTACTACTACTACTACTACTACTACTACTACTACTCCTGCAACTACTACTACTATTACTACTACTACTACTACTACTACTACTACTACTACTACCACTACTACTACTACTACTACTACTACTACTACTACTACTACTACTACTACTACTACTCTACTACTTCTACTACTAGTTGTACTCTACTACTACTACTACTACTACTACTACTACTACTACTACTACTACGACTACTACCTACTACTACTACTACTACTACTACTACTACTACTACTACTACTACGGACTACTACTATTACTAGTACTGCTACGACTTTCTACTACTACTTCTACTTATACACTACTACTACTACTACTACTACTACTACTACTACTACTACTACTACTACTACTACTACTATACTACTACTACTACTACTACTACTACTACTACTACTACTACTAACTACTACTACCACTACTACTATACGACTACGACTACGATTACTATTACTACTACTACGACTACTATTACTACTACCACCACTGCTACTACTACTACTACTACTACTACTACTACTTCACTACTACTTCACTACTACGACCACTATTGCTACTACTACTACTACTACTACTACTACTACTACTACTACTACTGATACTACGATTGAAACTACTACTCCTACTACGAAGGCTACGACGACTACTTCGACCACTACTACGACTACTACTACTACTACTACTACTACGACTACTACTACTACTACTACTACTACTACTACTACTACTACTACTACTACTACTACTACTACTACTACTACTACGACTACTTACTACTTACTAGTACTACTACTACTACTACTACTACTAATACTACTACTACTACTACTACTACTACTACTACTACTACTACTACTACTACGAACGCACGAGACGACTAACTAACCACTACTACCACTACCACTACTAACGACTACTACTACTACTACTTACTTACTACTACTACTACTACTACTACACTACTACTACTACTACTACTACTACTACTACTACTACTACTACTACTATACTACTACTACCTACTAATACTACTACTACTACTACAGACTACTACTACTACTTCTACTACTACTACTACTACTTCTACTACTACTACTACTACTACTACTACTACTACTACTACTACTACTACTACCATTACTAGTACCACTACGACTTCTACGACTACTTCTACTTATACGACTTCTACTACTACTCCTACTACTACTACTACTACTACTACTACTACTACTACTACTACTACTACTACTACTACTACTACCACTACCACTACTACTACGTCTACGGCTGCTACTACTACTACGACTACTACTACTCCCACTGCAAATGCCACTATTACCACGACTGCTGCTAGTACTACAGTGATACTACCACGACTACTACTACTACTACTACTACTACTACTACTACTACTACTACCACTACTACTACTACTACTACTACTACTACTACTACTACTACGACTACTA